TCTCTTTATTTAGTTGTCTTAATTTTAATTTTTTTGTGGATTTAAATGTAGTCTTGTTTCAAATTTTAACATACAATTACAACTAGCTTTTAATAATATCTTTGTAAATTGCAATTAAGATTTAAAATAATACTTATAATATTAAAATTTAAATAAAAGACAAGACTAAAAAATTAATTATTATGTTTTTTTTTAATCCTAGCTTTTTTTAAAAAAATATATAATTATAATTTGAATTTTTTTAAAATACAGGCTTTTTAACGGGTTTCAAACCAGGCCAGACCTTTATACTTTATACAAGCCAGGCTCAGGCTAAAAAATAAGCATGTAATAGGCCACAGGCTAGATTCAGGCTAATAGACTCCAAAACAGGCTTAGCCTGTTAAGAGCAAGGCCTGATTTGACCTGACCTGTTTCTACCCTTAACAGCCATGACATTTTGTGTCAGATATCCCTTTCTTTTAATATATTTGTCTTGCTTAGAATGACTCACCATGAACGCCATCAATTACTCTTATTGCATCCTTGAAATATTTTAAACGAAGATTCCTGAAAAAAAAAATTTCATCTTCCAACTGGAAACCACAATAACACGCACATGTGGAAGAGAGAATGGTCAGAAAAATCAAATAAGAAAGGACATAGTGGATGGGCTCTATGTTCGTGTAGCCAAGCTACCTATAGGTAGAAGAACTGAAAACCAAGCAATGAAGGACACGGAAAAATGGAATCCACCTACCCAAGAATAGAGCCAGAACAGAACAAGAAAGAAGCACATATCGGGGTCGAAAATTGAGCAACCAAGAATAGCTCTGGGTCAGAAAATTGAAAGAAGCAGCAACCAAGAAGAAGCAGAAAAATGAACAAATCTGGGTCTGAAAATATTGATCTCTTACCAGGTAAACGAAGGAGACCGTCACCGGTGTGGATTAGGAGTAGAGGAGATCTGGCGGCGGTGGCAGAACAGACGATGACCAATGCTTGCAACAAACAAACTGAAGAAGAAGTAACCAAACAGACAACACCAACAAAAAGATGAAGACCACAGTGCAGCAACTCCCACACAAGAACCAGAACGAGGATACTGTGGAAGACGGTGAAGACACACCGGAAGACAGCAGGGACATGGGGGGGGGTGGCAAAAGATACCGAGGACATGTGGTAGCACGCCTCTGTTCTATGTTTTATCTCAAATGGCAGAAGACTAGTATGTCTCTTTTTTTTTTTTACTTTAAGTGAGAGAAAATACATGCAAGAGGGTCAGGATAGGTAACAAATTTTAAAATCCAATTAATGCTATAACGGTATTATTTAACGTTCTGCCACTGAAAAAAAGTAGCTCAAAGTAGCTTACCGTTCCGTTCCTTATTATAAATCATTTGTATTTCAAAATTTTGTTTCAAAATATAAGTTAATTGTAATATAATTAATGATTTTTTTTCAATTTTACTCTATTCATTTAATAAAAAAATTAATTAATTTAAGTCTTTAGTAATGGCTTCTCGAAACACGTCTTTCTTCATTTCTCTTTGAATTTTTCATTTTCTATGTAGTTCGTCTCCTGTCTCCTCTCTCCCTCCCTCTCTCTCAACTTTTAATCCAGCACAACGACAAATAAAGTCTTTATTTAATAACGGTAAATGAGAAAAAACTGATTAATTTAATGTATTTTTTATTTATAAATTTAGAATATAAGTGATTTATAATAAAAAATAGAGTAGTATTACAAAAATCCATTTGAAGGCCAAAAGTCAACTCTCCAAAACATGAATTCAAATATCTTTTTTCTCTTACCTACAGCTTCTCCGGTTGGAATGCATGCTTGGGGCATCTCAAACACACCCAAGGTTATCTCGTAACAGCTTTTGCACGTCATCCCGGGGGGGATTGCCAACAGCGTTTTGTTCCAATTTGTTCGAGTCCACTAGTAGCCATTCTGCCAGCACACTGATTACACTCTCTGTACACATGGCTGAGCTGTACTTGCCACTCGAAATTTTTTTTTTTTTTTGAATGACCACTCGAAATTTAACATCTCATGGATTCTAACAAATGTGTGTAGTTGCCTTCAAAATTCTTTTTGTACTTGATAGCTTTGACACTTAACTTTGCATCGATCTCAACCTCTGTCTTCCTAAAACCCATCCTCCGGCGTAGTTCCAGACCCTCCAAGATGCCCCTAGCTTCTGCCTCTGCGACAGTACATTCAGACAGTTTCATTGTAAAACCTCCTAGCCACAATCCCCCCCCCCCCCTAAATACTCCACCACACCCATTCCAACCACTCACTGATACTGTCCCATCGATATTTAATTTACAACGGCCTGGCCTTGGAAGGTGCCACTCCGCATTAGTCAAATTACTGCAGCCGTATCCCACGCTTACAGTAGAGTTTCAAGCTGTAAACTCCAAAAACCAAAGAAAACACTTCAGAAGACGTCACTGAAGAGGCCGAGAGACTAGCAGGAATTAGCTTTATTTATTACCCCTTTGTATGTAAAATCACTCATCATTCTTGAAAAGAAGATGAGAAGTGAGGTTATCGAGGCTCTGAAAAAGAAAAAATGAATTTAGATTTTTGAATAAAAATTTTAAATTTGGATGAAGTTAAAGTGAGGTAGGCGGCTTATTGACGGGAGGTAGGTCTGCTTATTTGACTTCTGCTCCTTTGCCTCTTTCTTGTTAGGATCTGTGTGTATTGATGATGATGATTCTGTGAATTCCAAAGTTGAAAAATAAGAATAAAATATAAGCAGCAGGTAAAAATAAAAAATTACGTTTTGAAATCACGTTGATAAGTATTTAGAAATATATATTATAATATGTCACAACAAAAAAATTTTATATTTTGTAAATTATAATTAAAAAATTGTTAGTAACTCATTTCAAACAGACCATAAGATTCACATTTGAGGTTAAACCGCCAGTGACCCTGAAGTCCCAAAAAAATCAATGAGCAAAATATTTATTCGCGCAAAGTACTATTAGTATATTCTCATTATTATTATTATCACTAAGTAACCCTAATTTTAATTGTATTGATACTTAATCATCTTCATTTATTTTGCCGATTCATAATATTAGTCTGTTTTAACTACTATACATGGACAAAAAAGTAATAATTAAAATCAGATTATGGTGATGGTAAAACATGTAGGTATTATTAAATATGTAAAAGTCAATAAAACATTTCAAATATACCCTTAATATTACATTAATCATACTAAATTAATTGTTATAATATTTTATCATTAAATATATAATATTTTTTCAAAATCTCTAAATTTGTCATCTCAGTTTTTAAATTTACTACTAAATTGAATATTTAATATTTTAACCGTGTAGGCTAAAGAACAGAATTTGCTTTCATTAAGGGAGTGTTTGGGTGATTGTCCAAACTATGGTTTGGGAAAAAATTACCCAAACACCTATTAATTTTTCAAAACCATGGTTTTATGATAAAACCATGGTTTGCCTTTCAAAACCAAGGTTTTGTAATAAGCAAAAAAATTTTGCTTTTTGAGTGGTTCTCCCCCACCCCCTACGTTAATTTTTTTTGGTTGAAAACAATTATTTAGTTTTCTAAAAACATAATCTTATATTTTATAATTATATATACATATATTAATAATTACCACATTTTGTTTTTAATATAAGACCTCATTTGATTTTTATTTGGTCCTAAATATAAAACTTCAATCTATTTTATTTCTCATATTTGTCTATTGTTTTTTAAGTTATAACCAATAAACTTGATTAATAAGGATATTGTAGGAAAGGCAACACCTGTTTATTACAAATAACTAACTTAACTTATTTTTTTAATCTACTCAAATTAGTTAACTAACTCTTACATTTAGAACTGGATATAGTAATTAATATATGTTTTTATACATTGTTTATTATGTTGGCAAAAATAATAATAAATGTATTATTTTGGTCTTTAATGTAAGACCTAATTGGAGTTAATATTAGTCTTAAATGTAAGATTATTGTTCCGATCATTAATGTAAAACCTAATTAGAGAGTTAATATGTAGACAAGGTCTTAATACCTTCATCAATAGAATCTTCATCTCACATGGCTTGGTTACGTGACTCCATAAGAAATCAAATTATTCACTATATACAAGAATAGTCATGTCCTTTTTATTTTCTTTTTTCTTTTCAGATAATGTAATGTGTTGTTAAAAAAAATACTTAGACAAATATATTTCGTTCCAACCTCTATTATTAAGACAATTAATATGAAATTTTTTTGTGTGGTTATTTAATTTTGTGAAAAAAATATGGGATTTCATCTTTAAAATTTTTAAGAAATAATATTTTTTTCAGCAAAGTAAATCATTTTCCTAAAAACATATTTAATTATTTTATTAATATATATACACATTAATTTTTTATTAATTATATTATTTATGTCTTATTTATTATGTTGTCAAAATGTATATTATTAACAAATTTATTACTTCAAATAAACATATATTATGAAATATATCTTACATGTAATTATCATTTAAACTTATATCCTTTTTAGTAATTTCTACATATCAAAAAACACTTCTGACAACAATTATCCAAACACTCACTTTATCAGAATCACTTTTTCAGAAAATCCATTCTTTCAAAATCTATTCTCTTTAAAATCTATTCTTCAAACCATAGATTTGTCTGTTTTAGATGGTCATTGGAAAAATTGCCGACAAAAAAAAAGGTCATTGGAAAATGAATGAGAGGGATATGCGCGTGTTTATTTTGTTTCCAAATTACGTGGGCCCAGCTATCATCCACCCTGCCCCTCGCCAGCGAAGGAGGAAGCGCAAGACAGGAATAAGAGAAAGCAGTAAAAGGAAAACGTTCAACCCTGAAACAATTTCTTGACCCAGAAAAACCCTAAAACAATTTCATTTTGTAATTGGGAAAGAAAAAAAAGTAATGTCACGTCGTGAACATAATGAAACTCGTTCCATTCCAGATTTCTTTAATAGATGCATGTTAAGCTCAAAATGAAGCAGCTGTTAACTTCCCAATTGTGCTAAATTTTCTCATCACCTCCTCAATATTTTCCCCAAAAGCATCATAAATAAGTCTGCAGCTTGCAGAGCATCTGGGATAGGACGATAATTCCTTGAGCATTTGAAAGTCTTCCTCTTTACTTTCACATGTGCCATCGCTCCCAACAATAACAGTCCTCAAAACTGTCGCCTTCTCCATTACGTATCTCACAATTTCAAATTCAATTTTGGAGCCTTCGAAGCCAAAAAGAGCGAACTCCTTCAACTGAGATGAAACACATGGAGGAACATGAACATCAGGCGTCGACAACTCCATCAAATCCGAGTCGTCGTCATCATCCCAGTCATTATCAACCTGACCACACAAATGGGCATACATATGAATATATATGTGTACATGGTTATAGAAACTGAATAAAGAGAATGCACTCCGCATATAAATCAAATCATATCAAACCATTTAGTTTCACACCTCATGAATTATAAGACCTTGAAGCTTGGGAAAGCCTCGGAGCATGCTCAGTACACTGCAGTCGATACATCCAGATTTCTCGATTTGTAGACGGATTACACTGGGAAATGTTGGACAATCATCGAAAAGATACCCAAAGGTATCAACAGCCTGCGTGAGGAATGAGCAAGACAATTTAAAAACAAACTGTATCTGAAGTCTAAGGAGGGAAATAAACAGCATCAACTAGCTCCTCGCGTCCATACCTTACGTAAGGTGAGAAATTGAACATTGGAAAAAGCTTTTATTGGGAATATTTTGTTTGGAACATCAACATCTACCGACAACAAATGTTCAAACCTTGCAATGTCGTGCCTTGAATGCTCATTACTAGCATTGTTGTGCCTTGAATGTATAACCAGATCAGTTACCACCAATTCTTCAAGGCGAACACAACTAGAAAGAAGCCTTCTCACAGCTTCAAAATTTGAAAATTTAGTCATCCTCAAATGCAAGACCTCAAGTAAAGGCAAATTAACCCTAGAAAGATTAGTCGCGCCCACCCCAGTCAACTTCAAAACACGCAAGGTATTGCAGATGAAAATGCTAGAGGGCAACTTAACAGGCCGTAACGCATTTAGCTCTAGATGCGTTAAATTGTGACTAATCATTGTGTTGACCCAAATGTTAGCCTTAACAGGGGGCAGACGGAAATGCCTACACTTGAGAATAAACATTTGAACAGAATTGAAATGGGCTAAGTGGAGGGCTGCATCTACAAACTGAACGAAGAATTCAAGACTACCAAAGTTTCTGTCATCAAATTCAAGCTTGGGAAGGGAGCGCCAAAGTGTTCTCCACCTCTTGGACAAGAGGCTTGTGGCAACGGCTTCTTTGATGGGAAGAAAAGAAAGAATATGAACAAGTAATGGCTCCGGCAAATCACTGATCCTACGCCTCCTTTTGTTTCTTTTTTTTGATGCTATGCGCTTCATTTCTACTTTGCTGCAAAAGAGATGTCTGGTGTTAGTAGTGTATAGGGGGGTGTGTGTGTGTGTGTAAAACGCGAAAGGTCATCACGGCGATGAGTTTCCAAATATTTCTTCTGACAACTCAAAATACCAGATTTTCAAGCGTGATGGTTTTGATGATAGTCACCGGAAGCCGCCACCAGAGGAATATGTTCGACTGGATATCGATGGATCTGTCCACACTGACTCAATGGAAGCTTTCAACCTTATTTTCAAGGATGGTTGCCACTCAGATCAGAGACCTCCTTTACTCTTACTCGGAGAACACAGTGATCTCATTTAGTTGATGCGCGGGCCCAGAGTATAGACTAGGTAACTGAAGGAAATCTATCAAATATCATCCATTTAATGCCGTTCAAAATTGCGACTAACAGGCGCTCATTTTCCCTTTTTTTTTTTTCCCAACTCTCTTTCGCCTCCTCCTTAAATTATCATTTCTCAATTTAACACCAAAGAGTTAAAACCCCACCCCCTAAAAAAAAAGTATCTTTGATATTTTATAAATATAATTAAATGATTAAAATATTTTTATATCATATTTTTTAAAAAAATATCAAACTTGTTATTATTAGTATATTTTTTTTATTATTCATTGTTTAATACTTGTTATTGTTAATTCACAATTTGTTAATAAATAACTTATCATTATAATATATTTTTTATTATTTACTATTTAACACTTGTTTTATCAATTTAAAACTTATTAATAAATTTTTTAACAAAATAATATTTTAGTTATTTAACTACATTACAAAATACTATATTAGACACTACTTTTTTTTTGTCATTTTCCATTTTTAAATACCTAATTTAAAGTATGATATTTTTCAACTTCTTATTTGTCATTTTTTGATTGAGTTACTACTCTTAGGCTATTCCTCCCTCCTCCTTCCTGCTTTTCTCGTACCATCTCAAAATTTGAATTAATTTGATCCTATTTATTTATAAAATCTTTTAAATATTAAGTAGTTTTTATAATTACTATTTTATTCTCTCTAGTCTTTCATCACCTTTCCTCCTATCACATCCTCTTAGCTCGTTTATCCCATTATCAAGTTTTCTGTCTCTCATTTAGCCCCTTATTGACTAAGGGTGTGTTTGGATGAAACCAAACCGTGGTTTGGAAAAGTGATTCTGGAAAATAGATTCTGTGGAGAATAGATTCTGAGAAAAAGTGATTCTGAGAAGTGAGAGTGTTTGGATAGTTATTACCAGAAGAACTTTTTACATGTGGAAATTACCAAAAAGGGTATAAGTTAATATGATAATTATATAAGGGATAGATTTTATGATTTATTTTGATTTGAAGAAATAAAATTGTTAATGAAATAATTTTTACTAACATAATTAATAATATATAAGATAATATAATTAATACATAATTAATATGTGTACATATATTTATAAAACATAACATTAAATATGTTTATAGAAAAATGATTTTTTTTATAACAGAAAAATATTAATTTTGTTTAAAGATTGTAAACGTGAAATCCCATAACATTTTTTCACAACTACTTTTTGTAATAACATACTACATGTATAATAACCTCTGATGTTTAATACAATTAATTAATTAATTGTCACCACACATATATATTCATAAAATATAAGAGTGAAAAATATTTTTAGAGAAGATGAATTATTTTGTTGCAAACAGAAAGTCATGTATTTTTCATGAAGATTATAAACATAAAATGGGATGATATTGTTTGATAAAATAAAATAAACACGTCTTAAAATAATTTATTAATTATTCAAGTAAGTAATAATTAGCTTGAGAATATAAGGTATAATATTAATAAGAGAAATATAAATAAAGAAGTGTCATAATCATTAAGATGATGCATCGATACAAAGCATTTGTAATAGGTTTTGTTTTTAACTACATATTACAATCTATGATAAAAGGAAATAAATAAGACATGACTACTATCCTCGTATTGAATTAACAAGTTCGTCTCTTATGCTGTCACGAACCTGAGCCATGTAAGATGAAGATTGAATTGATGAATGTATACGTGAAAATCTAACCCCATCATCATCATCTTCTGCATAAGTACCTTCTTCTTCCAACTGAACGAATCCAGGATCAGTAATAGATGTCATTCTAATAAAATTATGTATAGCCATCGTTGCACAAACGATTTTAACTTGTGTTTCAAAATCATAGGATGGCATGTTTTGTAAGATTGCGAACTTTTTTTTCCAAACTCCGAAAGTTCTTTCAATTGTACTCCTTAAACTTGAATGGAAATAATTAAAGATCTCATTGTCATTTTCAAACCCAGATGTCCTTCGAAAATCAGGCAAATGGTAACGCTCTCGTCTATATGGGCCGAGATATCCATTCGGTGTTGGGTATCCAGCATCCACCAAATAATATTTTCCTATATAAAAAATGAAATTATTGTAAATTATGTTTCTATTGTTAAGCTAAATATAAAAAAAATGTATGAAATAAAAAAATACCTTCAGGTGGATGGGGAAAGTTCATTGAAGGAGTTGTGAGGGCATGATCAAATATCCGAGTATCATGTGCGCTACCTTCCCATCCGGCCAAGACAAAAGTAAAACACATGTCCCAATCACAAACCGCCATGACATTTTGTGACACTGTTCCTTTCCTAGAGATAAATTTAGTTTGATTTGTTGCACTAACAACGCAGGAAACATGTGTGCCATCAATTGCTCCAATAGCATGTTTAAAAAAATGCCAGTATTTACCAAACCGAATTTTTGTATGAACATGCCGGAATGTTGGATCTTTTGGTTTGATATTAGACATGGCAAGTCTACAGCATGCCATTAGGACATTATGAAAATGTCTGCTAATTGTCTCCCCTGAATGTTGAAATCTTTCTTGCTGCATTCTGCTACTAAGTGCATGCCCAACGGTATGTAAAAACATTGCAACTGATTCATGTATCCCTATATTTTTAGTTTCTTTTAGACCATGTTGTTGCAATTGTTCCACCAGACTTAAGAACACATCCCGTTCCATCCTAAACATGTTATAACAACGACTGGAGTTACCATCTAAAACATCCCTTACCCATATGCAGCCTGTATAAGCACTTGTATGCTGTCACACCTTACTTATATAGTACCTTAGCAGTCATTTAGAACCATTCCAAACCACTTTGGATGGTCTTAAACTTGAAATTTTCAATTTGGACGTTAATTTTCGAAAAATTACTGTTCACTGTCTAGTTTTCAGATTACAAGTCTAACTTTGGAAAATCATAACTAATTCTAGAAAAATCGTATGGAGGTGTTCCAAAATTCTACGGAAAGCTCTTTCAATGCTCTTTAAGGGAAAAATATTCAACTGAACTCATCCTCACTGAAAACGTACAGTTTATTGGATTAAAATTACTATTCATTTGGTAAAATCTGGACTTTCCAGATTCTGCGCCTTAACTTCGAAAATTCATATCTCATTGTATACACATCCAAATGATGTGATTTAACACTCATTTTAAAGCTTGGGATATGTATTATAAGTGTACCAAATTCCGTAGCTTAACTCATTCATATGATAGGTCAAACTGAAGCTTGAAATTAACTGCTTCAGGACCTACGTTTTATCCTTTAACATCTCTTTACTTTAATTCTTTTTATTTCTTTGGCATACCTAACATGGGCTTACTTTTTCCCATTCATGCTCATACATTCCTATACACACCATAAGCTTTATAATTAAATACATGGCATTCACAACATAAGTCATAACATAGGAGAATTATACATTGAATAATAATATCAATCATTAGCATCAATAACTCTCCACTTCTTCTCCTTGCTTATCATGCCATTAGTGCCCACCATTGATTGACCTAAATGGTTGGTTAGGGAGGGGGTGAGATTCGGGGGAATCTCAGTAGCAAACAATACCATATTAATCATGCCAAATGGATGCTCATGCACTACACGCAACTTGTTTATTCTCTTGTTAATTAGTGACATACTAGCATGCTCAAAGCTAACTTCTTGATGCATGGCCATGGAGACATAATCTACTCATCATGAATAGCAATTACAGCAGCTAAAACATGTCACAATAACATTCAATAACATGTACACGGCAACACACAAGCATATAACATCAAGCAATGACAATAGGTAAGTTCACTACCTTGCACCTCAAGCCTTCCTTTTACTTTTCCTTTGACTCCCTTGACTTTCCAACCATGTTAGCTTTTGGTCAACATCATCAAACATCCTCTTGGATGTTCCAAAGGTCCTAAACATAGTCATAATGATCATACAATCTATTAGGACCACTAGATTACATAAAGTTCAAAGCTAGCTCTCTTGAACCTCAACCTTTTCTCTTAGTCTTAGGGTTTTCTTTCTAGCTTTTCTAACATAAATCTCATCATTTCCCATCATTATGATCCATTTCTTGTCAATTATGACCACTTTAGATGGCTTTAGATTCAAGAATATCAAATCTGAAAATTTTGGTTCGCGGGTACTGTTCACGCAGAATCTCCAGAATTTTTGATCAACTTTCAAAATTCATAATTAAATCTAGAAAAATCCAAATTGAGTGCTTCCAAGTCTCACTGAAAGCTAATTAAGTTAAATTTAAAGAAAAAATATTTTCAGGAACCAATTCTATGCTGAACAGCACCGGAATTGTACGGAACTCGACACTCTTCTAAAAGTTCAACATTGTTTCCAGATTTCAATCTCTAACTTTGAAAAATCACCATAAATCGTACACATATCCAAATGAAGTGTTCTACCCATGGATTTAAAGCTCACAGAGTGTACTTTAATCATACAAAATTTTAGAATCAGATACACACAGTAACTAATTGGAAATAGGTATCAAATCAGATGCTATAGCCACCACATACCTTGATCTTGAAGCTTGAACTTTGTTCCTTCTTCTTGGCCTTCACCCCTACGTTTTTCTCTCTAAATTTTGGCAGAGTTTCCCTTCTTAAACTCATGTTAGCTGAAAATATGAAGGGGAAGAGGCTCTATTTATAGCCAAAAAAAAGTTGGCTTGAATGGACCAAAATGCCCTTGGTGGCTAATAGAAAGGGTAAGGGCAAATTTGGAAGTTCAAGTGGACTTTTGCATCATCATTGCATCATCTTATTACATCATGCTTACCTCAACCTTCTAGAAGATGCCAAGTGTCATGAAAGTGGTGGAGGAAATGGGAGATTAGATCCTAACCGTTGGATCAAACGTGTTTCATAAACTTCCTCCGAATTTACTTGACCCACGTTTCTCCGGCTTTTTTTATGGCCTTTCGGAGCTCAGAAAATTGTTCTGTTTGCTTTATAAATTTCCTTTAATTCTAAAGAATATCTATGAATTTTCTTAGGCCATAACACTTCCTTTAAACCTTGCATAAAAATTCATTTACCAAAATGCCCTTTTATCGGCAAAACCGGCTCTTTAATTTATTAAAGCCACTCCACTGACCATTTGGTTGCGGGACTAATTTTATAAATTAGTACAACCTTTCAACCATTTAACCTCATTTTTGTATATATTTTTTAGGTCTCTTGCTATTTTAAATAATTACCTCACATGGTATACTTTTTACCGGTAATAACCTCATAAATTCCGTTGAAGCTGCCTCAGGGGTATTTTCATCTTTTCTCTTCATAGAAGAGCCTTAGAATATTATTTCCCATTTTCTAGGATTTTCTTAGAATTTTCTGTACCCTCTTCCACTTTTACCCCTGTTGGTCATAACTTTCAGAATTTACAGTTTAGTCCCTGGTTGGACTTAACTTCATATAATCCTCTCTTTGAGGCTTCTAACTCAACCTTTGGCCTATATCTAGTCTCTTTTCTCTCTCTGGGCCTTCGAGACTTTACTGGAGTATCTAACTTTATTACACTTTAGCCCCTTAAAACTTTTACTTTACAGTTTAGTCCCTGAAACTACTTTGACTTCCTTTCTCATCTTTGGGACTTCTGCTAAAAAGGGGTCTGATAGCCTATCTAATTCAGACTATTACTGGTACTTCTAGGCCTAAAACTTTGGATGTTACATATGTCGAGGCTCCTTACACAAGTTCAAAGTAGCGTATGCACCAACCAATGCTGCAACTTTGTTAACCCTTTTTTTCCGTCCCTTAGTATGCTCTTCCACATGTTTAATTTCATCATCTATATTCGTTTTATCCTGTGCACATACACATAAAGTTTAGAATTCCTACATAGAAATTACGAAACATTTATAAATGTTACAGAGTTGTCTGATTCATATAACAATTCACTGGTCACATAAAACATACACATATGGAACTGTCTAATATAATAAGCAAGTCATAAATCCCTAGTGTAAAACTCCAAAATAGGTAGAAGTTGTTCCTTCTGATCCTTCAGAGCTGCATACATTTCCCGTGTCTCCGGCCGTTCCATAAGGAGTTGTGTGCACCGTCTAAAGAAATCAGGATCACTGACAACTTCAGGAACTGTTTTCAGGTGAGACAGGACTCCCCTAATTGAAATTTCATAAGCACGCGCTTCTTCTTCCAACCTTCTAGCTTCTGCTCGTGAAATGACCTCATTTCCAAGCTCAGCCTCAGAAATATTTGTTTTAGCAATCTTGCTAATTGCATCCGCTATTTTCATAGAGGGAGATGTGTGTTTCTTCTTGACTTCACTCTTCCTTCTAACCCCCAGTGAGCTACTAGGTCAACTCCTACCTCTGCTTGTACCCCCACCACTGGTATCCTGCCTCAATTCAGTGTTGCCTCCACTACCTCCACTATTATCATTGAAGTTCACTGTGTTAAATTCTTCACTTATACCAGTTGGTGCGCCTAAAATTTCATCACTATCTCCGGACCCTTCTTCCAAATCTTAATTCGGTGTTCCTTCACTTGGAAGTGTCATGGAAGAAGGTGCCCATGCTTGTGGTCCAGTTGCAGCCACACTCCCAAATAGTTAAGTCAATTGATCCCTAAATTGAAGTCCTCTTTCTCTGAATTTTTCGTAGTTTGGAACTTTCTGCACATTATACACCAATAATATCATAAAATATTCCAAAAACAGTAAATATACACAAAACATTAACAAGTAGAGAAAAATGTAAGATCAAAAGGTTCAATAATTACCCTTATTTTTCTCTCCCACCAATCATCAGTTGCACTGACAGTATTCCTTTCAGTATCCCATCCCAATCCCGTCTCACGAAGCAGCCTATCCCATGTCTGCCACTCCTTTCGTAGGGAATCATATTTATTCTTAAATTGAGCTTTTCATACACTCTTCCAGTTTTGGCAGTAAATTTATCAGCAAGAATATCCCAAGCTTTCTTTGTTAAGCTAGTACCTTTTCTTTCCTCTTGTTGCACAAGTTCAATGCATAGGTCAATAAACACTTTCGTGGTTCGCAGGTTCCAGGAAGCTTTCACCGTATTCTTACCCATTATGCTATAGCACAATTACAGCTCTTCAGTCATCACAGGTTAATCAACTCAAAATCAATTGAAATAACAAGTGTCATTGTTACCCACATCAACTATGAATACCATATTAACATTTTTCTTTCCTTCATTTTATTTCAAACAAAAAGAAATTCATTCTATGTTTTTATAACATGTAATTAATTTTTTTAATCCAACATAAAATGAAACTATGTTCCCATTCCTTTAATGACAAGAAAAAAAATTAAATAAATTAAATTTGATTACCACAAATACAACATCCTATAATTTTGTTTAAAACAGGATTACAAAAAATAAAACATAAGGATTACAAATATATCTCTAAAAAAACTAGTCAAACTATATGAACCGAAAACTGATCCTCTGGCCCCGAAAGCAAAGACCATCCTTGAGAGTAGCACGATGTTTCGGTTTCAACAAAGGAAGCAAACCGAAATCAGATAAACCAAGCTACACAAATGAATCTATAAATGAAAATTAACCCACCACTAAAAGCAAAACGTCAGCCACAACTATCAATGAAGAAAAATCAGCACCAACCAAACACCTCAAGCCAGCACTGAAAAAAAAAATTCACTACAGTCAGGCGACAAACCGTGATGCGACAAAAATTATAAATGTTGAACATTTTTGTTACCATGATTCAAACATTTAACACAAAGATTTGCATTTGGTATATTTGTGCATAAGATAAACATATCTCAGAACCAAAAAAAAATCAGACATTATAAACCAACCGAAAATACCATATATCAGGCTCAAACCAACCGAATAATTTCTGTCCTATGCCACGCATAAACCAACCTAATATTAATAAGCAAGATTACTAAACAACATATTCAGATCAGAATTTTTCCGAACGAACATTCAACGGGTCAAACTCTCATGGCAAGTTTCCAGCAAGCATCAACGACAAACGGCCGATTAAACAACATCAATGTTCAAATCAGAATTTTTCTAGCAAGCATCAACGACAAACGATTCCTAAACCCAGCATCAACGATTCCAAACGGATAATTAACGGGTCAAACTCTCATGGCAAGTTCACGATTCCTAAACCCAGCAAGCATCAACGACAAACGATTCCTAAACCCAGCATCAACGATTTCGAACGGATATCATTTCACAATTCCTTACCCAAAAAACAATCCAACACATCAATTATCTGAAAATATAATAAACCATCCAACATCAATTATCTGAAAATTAATCGGAAGATATAAAACAATCCAATCAATCGAACCGGACGAAGCTGTGAGCGAAAGGGACTATCGAAAGGCAGAGCTGGAGCATGAGAGAAAGAGCTAACAGAGATTGATGGAGTTTGTGGGTGAGGCACCGAACAGGTGAGGGACAAAGGGAACTAGAAGACCCTGTTATTTTTCGGTTTCATTGAAGGCAGAAGAAGACCCAGAACCAGAAGGTCCAGCTCGCAACACGCCGATTAATTTACAGAGGAAGAAACAGAGGCTATGGAGAAGAAGAAAATTGCGGATCTGAGCCACCTTACCTGAGCGACGGATCTGAGCCAGGGAACACCGACCACAGCCAAATGCTTCACACCGAACCTAAGCGCCAGAAATAGCTGCAATCTTCTTCAACCATGGAGCTGCGATTTCTCTCACCGGCGGCGACTTCTTCAAACCGTGGCTAGACCGCGACTTCTTCACCGGCGGCGACTCGTTCTGTGAAGGAGGAGACGAAGACCGTGGACTCGACTGGTGTTCTGTGAAGGATGGTGTTGTGTGGGGTGCGAGGACCGACGGGAGAACTGGAGAAGGTGTGAACGAGAGGAGTGAATTATTGAACACATTCAGAGCAATAATGGAGCCTTTGGTCATTTGTGGAGGGGCCCACCACTCCTTTCAGCAAATATCCGAAAAGCAGATAAGATATGCTGCTGCCCAAACCATGGTTTCAACCGTTGAAATCATGGTTTTACCAGAACCTTGGTTTCCTTAATTTGCATGACCGTTTGGATGGCATTTTGGCCAAACCTTGGTTTGGGTTTCCAAACCAAGGTTTGCAATGCAATCCAAACGGAGCCTAAAGATATATTTTAAAATTCAATTTTTACATATTTACTATTTTTCATTAATTAAACTATTTTATTAAACTTGATATTATCCAAAAAGACGGGGAATATTCAATTACTAAATAAACAGTTGAAGTTTAATCATTTATAAAATTATGATTATAATACTATATAAAAATTAAATAGACAAATTTAATTGATAGAAATTTACTTTGGATAATTCTCGACTGAAAAGTACCTAAAAATAAAAATTGATCTTATTAAATATTGAATATCAACGCTTCCTCTCTTTTTTTTATTTAGGGGAAAAAATGGATGAGGAGAGGATCGAAATTCGAAATCTATTGACGAAGTGTTGTAGCTGTTCAAGCATGACGCTCTGAGCTTCAGCATGTGCAAATACTGAAGTTATTAATAAAGATTTCCTCCACTACCTTTCGTTTAACCACCCTTTTTCTTTGTTATCATTGGATAAAAATATAAGACTCGTTTAAAATAATTTATAAATAACATTTTAATCGTAATTTACAGAATACGAGATAAATATGTGATAGGAGTTTTGTCTTGACTTACATAAAATGTATTTATAAGTGACTTCAATAATGATGACAAATAGAACCATAATAATAAACTTTTAATATTTATAAATTAAAAATTATTTTAATTTTACTTAAAAATAGATAAATAAATTTAAACCATTAAAGTTTAATGTGAAAAAGATTGAAGATGAGGACAGAGGAAGGAAATAATAGAGGAAAGATCTTGGGATAATCCCTATAAAAAAGCCTTTAAAATTTTGAAATTTCAAATTAAAAATGATTACAAAAATATGTTGTCATTTATTTTTAAATATAGTTAATTACTATTAAATTATAGTAAATAAGGTTAATTTAAAATTTTAAAATTTAATTGTATTTTTTTGGGATTATTGATTTTTTTTATAATTAAAATAGCTTCCAATACAAGAAAGCCTGTGACAGGGTTGGAACCCAAGTCTGTACTGAAACGAAAGTGACAGCCATTTTCTAAAATAGTAAAATTATATTTTTCGTATAAAAATTTGCACTCGCAAGAACAAATCATCGCCTGACTGCTTGTAAGGGGAAAGTGGCATTCGCAACTTCGCATTCCGAGGACGTTTTGACTTTTGAGAGACAAGCACGGAACGCGGAGCCGGGGAAAGTGCAGTCCGGAGAAATAAATAATGTCTAGTCCCATCACTTTAAGCCTACTTTTACAGGTCTGGATCAGCTGGCTTACTGTATTAAATACTTTTTCTTTTGTTTATAAATAACATTTGCGAATTATCTTAAATTTTTATAGCGAATTTTCTATTTTATTTTATTAATTATTTATTTTAATATATAATATATTTATTATCTTATTTTTAAATCATCATTTTTTCCATCACATATTTATATTCTTTCTCTTTTATAATTTTTTATCATAATGGTTTTTTATTTTTTATACTCTTTTTTACCCTATAAATAAAAATATTTTGAAAAAAATTTTAATTAATTTTTTAATCTACATAAATAAAATTAAAAATTGTTTAAAAAATAGAAAGAGTATTAATTATTCCTCTCAAACCACAAATATCCATGGTCAAAAAGAAATGAAGTTGCAAAAGAAAAGGAGGATCGAATTGATATAAACATTTACTTTGGACAATTCAGGACTGAAAAATACCTAAAAATAAAAATTGATCTTATTAAATGTTGAATATCAGCCATTCTATTTTTTCATTTAGAGGGGGAAAGACGAGGAGAGGATCGAATTGAAGTAATTAACATATTAAGATTCAGTTAGAATGACTTATAAATAACTTTAAAATTATAATTTATGAAATAGGAGAGCCAACTATGATCTATATTTACGAAAGCAAATTGAATCGCTCGTAATTGTTTTTACATGTAAATGTGAGGATGGTATTCAGTTCATACCTTCTCAGCACAATATCCAAGACCTTATTCTGTTCATCTCATACAATGACTGAACTCAGATAATTTAGCAATGAATTAAGCAACTTGAAAAAAAAAAAAATCATATCATAGAAAATCTGTAAAATATAGAGAAAACTTCATGCCCGCAGATGCAAAGTATAACACACAATATAGATGTGTGTGTGTGTGTTTTTTTTTGGGGGGGATCTATATGTGGGTATAATGTGCTCATCGCATTTGGAGGAGAGAGAATAAGAAATTACACGGAACCTAACGAGCAAGAGGCAAAGCAGCAGTAGTCACACCCCATCAATAAGCAGGCTACTTCGGAACCGGATCCTCTCAAAAGCGAGTTTCTCAGCGTCTCTCAGAATCTGCACATCCTATCTGTCCATTCCATCATGAGCGTCCAGAAAGTGACATGTCATGGAACATTTAAAATAGCATCTAAACCGTTCATTCCATTATAATCCTCACCGCCCATTCAATTCCAAAATCCCTTCGGCCTTCACAAAAATACTTTCTCAGTTTGCCATGAATTTCCAACCCAGTCGGCGACGCAAACAGGGAGCTCCATGGTTATCGATGATTAGGCACTATGAGAGAATCACCATAGTTTTGCCAAAAGCAACTTATTGGGTCTGGTATCTACCTTGAAACTCTTCCTTCATATCTTTGTTCTTTTCCCCATCCCTTTCTGATTGCGCTTCTTCCTCTGCATCTCTTCTTTTTTCTATTCTTCTTTGCATTTGTCTACTTATTTGAATTCCTGTAGCTATTGAAAGATTTTTTGAATCTTAACATCCCACCGTTTTTGAAGTGAATTTCCGTGTTAGTGTATTTTAGTAAGGCTATGAATTCAGAGAAGCTAAAATGAGGCAACCCATTCTGAATACTATAATTTTAGTGCCCTTTTTTGGCGTGTTGCATTGCATTTGGCTACCTTGTGAAGAATTTGGAAATTTGCTTTAATGCTGCCTTCTCTTAATGATTCGAGCTTTGGAGAATAGATATTTGTTTTTATTAAGTGTTTTTCTATACTGCACCTGGATTGAATTGATTTGTAATTAGGCGAATGTCAGTTCAATTTCTTTGCTGTCAAATAGAATATGTGCGTTTTTTTATTAACTCCTCAAATTCTACAATTAAGTATGATGATAACATTCATTCAAGTCTCAATATTTAATTGTATCCTGAAGGGGCACTGAAAGGATCGTGGTTAAATAGGCTTTATGTTCTTCAGCTACAAGGTTTACAACTAATGTGTAATTAGAAATAGGAAGCACCATGTTAAAAGCCAGATTACATGCCCCATGCTAACAAGTTGTTGATGGGTAATAAACTAATTTTAAATGGGAGAACCTTTTTTTGGATGAATTACAATTTACTTGACAATAGGATCTATCTTCAGTTTGGGAACAATTACCCCAATGGGCATTAAAATTGCTAATATCCTGAGTTTTGATTCTCCCTTTTTTCCCAATAACTTCATATAATGATAATGATTGCAAAAATTATTATAATCTATAGTCTTTCTTAAAGATGTCTTAGATTTAATATGATTCTTTGTGTCCAATCTTTTGTTTTCTTCCCATACATATTCAATCAATGTCCATATCCGTAGGATTGATTCTCATGTCATTAACTATTTTCATGAGATTGGAATCTAGATCGCTGGATGAATTTAACAAATTTATGTTTATTTGCTGATTGGTTCTGCATCATATAGTTGATTGAAGCTTCAATCTACTTGATGGTATGAGTAATCCCACGGTTTGTCTATGTTTCAACAATAGTAGAATGAAGCTAGTGATGAAATATTTCTGTTCATTAAAATGTTTAAGAGATTATATTAGTCACTCACTTTTCCTTTAATTTCCTATAAGGTCTGTTAGAATTTGCTACCACATTGAACAAAATAGAATTTGCCATCATACTTTACTCCTATATTGAACAAAATAGGACTTGTTGAGATCAAACTAGCTGTATCCTACCATACAGAAGAGAAAGTTTCTGCTTGCTTGCTGTCAGAGCCAGCTTTGGTACATAAAAGAAATCAAACCCTCCAAAAAAATATGAGAGATATTTGAGATAAATTCGTTGCTGTTTCTATCTTGTTTTGTTTTTTTTTTTTTGGGTACCTATCAATAAAAATTCCTCTTCTTCCAATGATTGTGTTGGATCATCTAAGGGAGCCTATAAATCACAAAGAAAAGTATGCATATTATTAACATTAATAGAATAAGTCACAAAGGACATTAATTTTGGACAAAAAACTTACCATCAACATACTAGAAAATGACTGCACTTGAGGTAGTACTTGTAACATTGGAGGTGCAGAACATGAAATTGAAGCATTTGATTCCTCACTTCTTACATTGGCTGGGGACCTACTTATCTTTCCCAGACGCTCACGAAAATTCTTAAATTTTTTCTTTCTCTTAGTTCCATCTCTCTTTTTGATGCCCTTGGGTTATTTATCTTTCATGTCCATCTTCTTTTTTTCATTGCTGCCCCTTTCTTCCTTGCTTCTATCTTCTTCCTTTTTGTCGTCATCATTTGAATTCCTTAGCCTTGAACGGAAGTCTCTTGCTTCTTTATGAAGCTTAATTATAGAGTTGTGGACAAAGGCAGAAGTCTTTGGATAGTCA